TGCTGAATTTTTCACTTGAGGAAAATGAAAAGGCATGTTCCTTGCTTGAGAGGAATTGAAAGACATAAAACAATCTCTTCAGAAGAATGATTTTGTTTATGCATTTAGATAATGTCTCATTTTTCTTTCTTTGATATGCATGCTAATTAATTACTCTAGCACAATCTACAAGGAATACAGTGAATATGTGCAGCTTTGTTTCCTGGGGTAACTAGGGTAACAGAAAGGCTACTGGCTTTTCATAGTACTTAATTTCACTGTCTTTCTAAGAGTTACTTTTTGAGTGGACAGCAAATAAGGTTTTCTCTGGCTGAATGAGTTCAATAAGGCAAGGCAGGCTATTTAGCAGAAGATTCATGGCTCTGCTCTTTGGTCTTCAATGCAGCTGATCCAGATGAGGGCACTTTTTTCCAGATTGCAAGAGTCCACAAAAAATTATCAACCTAACAGTTTGTCAGCTTGTCTACCCAATCACCATGTGACCATGGTTATATTAAAAAAAAAAAAAAAGGCTCAAAAATATCAACAACTTAAGCTTCTTAGTAGAATACTGCCATATCTGCTTCTAAGGAGGCCACATTTAGCATGGTAATGGGAATCAACCCAGCATGAGCCAATTCATTTTGACTACTAAAATACATCTTTGACAAGATGATTATATGGGATCAGTTGCAAGATTATAGTTTCACAACTGAAGGGCGAGTGAACATATTGAGTAACCCCACCTCAGGCACATTGGGCTGTGTATCTCATTTGTTTTCTTTTGTTGTCATAAAGTGATAAGGCTGAAGTGTTATGATTCGTGTCTTATCGATAGCTCGCCTTAACCCACATGACCATAATGAAGCACAGTTATCCACGTCTGTTGTGATTCAGAAAGCTTTTGTAGCATCAATAACAATGCTGAGTTTAAGAATATATATGGAAGAAATGGTTAGTGCCTTTTCCTTTTTCTCTCTCTCTCTTTCGTTTCCTTTTTTTAAAAAAGAAAGCTGGAAAATGTCTTTATTTTCAACACCATCTGTTGCTGATAATTCCCACATAGCAAATCCTTGATGAATGGTGGAAATAACTTGTCATACTGTAGAGAGGGCCTTTGGTACACTTCCGTAGTTCGAAAATGTGACTGTTGAGGTACTATTTGAAGAGCATCCTTTATATATTATTAAACATAATTGACAATTATATAAACTAAATAAATGGAAGCTACTACATTTTGACAGTCATGTTGATAAAACAATGGGACTCTGTTTTGAATTTAAAACATGGGAACAGTCTGTGAGCTGTTGCATCTTGATATATGCACAAGCATGCCAGAGTAGATACTTTCTGAGAAAGTATGAGCAACAGATAATGAGTGTTTGTGTTGATGTGCATTTGGTTCTTTTCATGATTTGTTTCAAACTGAAACCATTACAACTGGAAAATAAGAATATTAAGATTGTGATGAGCTTTTCAGAAATCATAGAGAAAGAAACATTTTAAATTAATGAAAACCTGTCTAGCATTTAGTCTGTGATAACAAATAAAGGTGCAGATCTTTTTTACCAGGATGAGTTGATTTACGGAAAACATTAAGCATCTTGGTTAAACTGACAAATTATAACACCCCTGCAGCTACTGAAGTGATTTTCTGGATTGACATTTGCTTGTTAGTATTATAAAATAACATATAATCTGTTATCATCATTATCAGCTGTATAATAGTAGAGGTTGATTATTTAGTACTTATGCTTTGTTAATGGGCTTTTCATGGGGAGGTGGCATTACCTGATTGAAAGTTAGACATTTTTAATAAGATACAGCATTGGATTGAGCACAGTAAAAGAGATAAAGTTACCAGCATCTCCATGCTATTTGGGAGTCCCTTTAATAGATTTCTATTAATTTTATCTGTGAAAATCCATTTTGCACTGTTTTTCATTCAAGAACTTCTAGTAAACATTTTTTCAGATGTTTGCATAGACAAATAAGGCATACAGTAACAGACACAGTAGTGTGAATGTTTCTCTGCTAAATCTCCCAAGCACAAAGAACTGAGCATTTACACTGGAGTGTCTAACAATAGTATATGCATCTACTACCAACATGCAAAGAGAAGGAGAGGAAGGTTCTAAGTTGAGCTGTGCCTTGACTGGTGCTGGTACTCAAATCAGTGTTAAAGCTGGCACTCACTTTTCTAAAGGCATATATAAAGGCAGCTGTCCTGTCCAGAGTACCATTTTAGCTGTGAAGCAACTGGGCAAAGACATGAGAGCTTTTGTGACAGTTACCAAGCCAAAATACTGGCTTTGCCACTGGAGAATGTAGGAAGCTCAGTCCAAGTTAAAGGCCTGTGGGTGAGTGGGTGAAGGTTTCATCCCACACCTATCCATGGCATGTGACCTCTTTCTCTGCCAACTAAACCCAGTGGAGTCCTAGAGAGGACTGTGCTTGCCCATACCTTACAGCTAAGGCATCTTTGCCTTTTAGTGCCCTTGTTCTGTTCAGTATTCTGGAGGAGCACTCACTGCAGTAACATGGGCCAGTGTCACTCTTATTACTTTACCTGTTTTATCTTTTGTGAAATTGAGCCTTTAGCCAGAATTGCCTGAGCTGCTGCTCCAGCAGTCGGTTAACTGTGAGGCTCCTCGAGCTCATTTCTCTCAAGTAATTTGATTCCCACGTGCTCCCTGAGATTGCTTTTTCGCTGAAAGGAAAGTGGAAAGGGGGAATGGGTGTGTGTATGAGAGCTGACCAGAAGTGTTATGGCAGACAAATGTAGCTTAGACATAAAAACAATGCAAAAATGTGTTTTAAAAGATCCCGTTTTACTTCATCTCATTTTAACCCAGTCCTATTAAACATTTTTTGTTCGAGAATCAGAGACACAGGGTCTTTTGTGCTGATGCCAGGTATGGAACAGGAGGCTAAATTCCATCCTGCTCCTGCATAAAGCCAATAAGGTAATTCTTTCATTAAAATTATCAGAAATGTGTGTAAAATACTAATTTTATTTGTTCCCCCCTTCGGCAACTGATCATAAAAAGCATCTATGGATTTCACACTATTATCTGAAATCATACACAGAATTCAAGGCTTTTTTGTTTTGGTTGCTGAACTACTTCTTTTACACTGTGGTTACTTAGGAGTAGTTGAACTTCCGTTTTCTAGGTATGCTTCTATTTAAGATTGGTTAGTACAGCAGCAATTTTCTAAATGATGTACAATTTATAAAGAGATTCTATAAAATCGCCAGTGCTTTATCACAGTTTTGGGCAAACCCCCTGCTGCAAGGGAGAGAACAATAAGCCTGCGAAGTTAAATCTTGCTGGAAGGAGAATTGTTCTAAAATAAACCATTCAGTGTATCAGTTGTCTGAAATATGTTTCTCCCTCTGCATGGTGTTCATTGTATGTCCAGGCAGATCTACAACACTAAGGCTACAGAATTTCTGTTACAAAGTCCTTGTTTGTTAGATAGCATATTTCTAATTTAAGCAGACAGTCTGCTTAGAGGTCTGTTATTTTGTATGATGAAAATGTGAGGCTCTTGGAAGTCCCTGCTTTGGGTTTCATTAGTGTTCATTAGTTTGTGTCATAAGACATATGCTTTGAGGAGATCAGCAGCATTATTAAATGTCATAAGAATTTGTTTTTCTCAGCAGCAGCACAAGTATCCACAGTAATACTTGTAGGTTCTTAGCAAATTTTCTGTTTGGCAAAAAAGTATCTGAAAACATTTAAAAATATACTTTATTGAGAAGTGTATGCAAAGGATGCACATGCTAAATGTCTGTATTACTCAAACGTTGACTATTTGACTTGCTACTTTTGCTGGATAGTCATCATCCAGCACTTCAAAACAGTGCACATGCTGCTGGACAAAATCCTTGCAGAGTCAAGTTAGAAGGAGTAATGTTTTGGGGATTTGATTCATCAGTGCACAAAAAAAAAGGTCTAAAGAAGGTCTGAGTTTGGAGGATAATGTGCCAGGTCAAAAAGCTGGATACACCTACTAATTTTTGCAGCACCTGCATTTTCATTTATGGTGTGAGGGTGATGTATGATGTACAGAGACTCTATGTATGCAGCTGTGTGCCAAATTCCACTACGGTTTCTGTTGAGCTGCACTGCTTTCTTGTACGCTGTTGCTACAGCTCCACCTCTTCAAAGACTCTTCTATTAATCTAACCTACTGAGAGCTATTCATACTGCTTATGGGTTTTTATTTTTAAATCCTCACAAAAGTGATTTGCTGCCCCCAAGTTAGGAATTTAAAGGAAAATTAAATTGAGGCTGCCTAAATAATGAAAGCATCTTTAGATTTGATAGATAGAGACCATCAAAGCAAAAAGTCTGTATCCCTGGAAAGATTTCTGACATTGTTTAATGCTGGGGGGAGTTACTATTGCTAGTATATCATGCAGCATAAGGCTTGCAATTCATATGCTTAGGCTTCATGAATACCTAATTTCCAAAGTTGTTAATTATTTTTTAGGTAATAAATTAAGAGAGTTCTAACTCAAACATTTTTATCCTTATATGGCCTATAGTGTTGGGGTCATAGTGTTGTATAGTTTTGCTGACAGATAGATTAAAGAAAGCAAGCCTTAAGAAATGCCTGAATTTTTCTTGTATGCCATGAAAGCTTAGTATTTGTTTCTGTGATGTATGTGTTATATTGTTGCCTGTCTGGTATGACACATGTATAGCTCTCTATTTTATCTACTTCCTTTGATCTGTGGAGCTTTCCTAACTAGAGTTTAAAGGAAAAAATATTTTTAAAAATCCAATAACCTATCACTGGCCCTATTTTCAATTTATTTAGCTGGGGAAAAAAAAAAAAAAAAAGTAATTTATTTCACCTAAAACCTTTATACCAGGCTCTGAAGAAGGAAGTTGACCAATTCTGATCTCAAAGAACCCCAAAACGTATGGAAAAAAAGTTCCAGATTTTTTTCTTCTTATGAATGTAAAAAAATGTGCCTTTTATTTATCTGTTGTTTCTTCTGTCTCTAGGTTTTCCAAATGAGCCTGCTGCTGTCATTGCCCTAAACACTACTAAGGAATGGCTAAGCAAGAATCACAATGAGGTATGGAATAAAATATACATTTCCCAATTTGTTTGAGATTATGGTCTTTGACTCCAAGACTGTCAAAAGAGTAAACACAGGCTAGAGCCTCAAAGTCTGTTGCTATTTAGTCTTAAGACCAATGAAATTGGGTCAGGAAAATATAGCCGAAGGAAGAGTGCTATATTTAAAAGCAACACTGGAGTTGAAGGGAAATACCTTTGTTTGCAACCATACTGTATGTTTCCTCTGCATTATAATCTTTCCTGGCAAAGTAGAAGACTGTTCTCTTCCTCAGCTGCTTCTGAGCGTCAGAGTTTTTGTGTAATAATGAGGAGATTCTTTGAAAGGAAACGTATATAACAGTTGTCAGTGGAAACAGCCACCAAAGGTCAGTGGTGTTCAGGGGTCACTTTACAGTAAAGAGCTATATGATAGTATTTTCTATTTTCTTTAATTTTTGGGTTGCTTACAGTTAGGCGATCATTTTCCTTGGAGCATTCACTAAATACGTGATACTACTGTGAATTTTTACAGGACTGGTCTTCTTCCAGTGACAGTATAATAGTGATTATTTTTACAAGACAAAAAGAAATGCTTTCAACAGAATGATCTCCACAGCTCCCTGTTCCATTTTGTTGTTTTCAGTTCTTAGCAGGCTGATAATTCCTAGTGTTGAATGGGAGAAATGCAACAGAGAAGTGACAGAACAAATAAAATAGTCATGTCTTAGACCGAAGATATGCCTGTTTCCTCGTGATGACAGCCAGCAGATTTTAGACAGCTGGAGTTGTTAAGTATTTTTGTCTGAAGATACTTTACAAAGCATCCAGTGGAGAAGCAGTGGGTTCAGGGACATAATTAGTAGTGTTTTTCTTCTAGCAATATATTCAGAGGGCCTTTCTGTCACAAGAATCTGATACATGAGGGTATGAATTTAGCAGTGTTATGTGGTTTGTTTTGGTTTTTATACCAGCTTTGAATTGAAAAGAAACACTATGTTGAGATTTGAATGGTAAGCTGGTGTTTTCAAACCCAAAGCTACGCTAAGGGCTGCATACATGTTTGGACACTGGTTCTTTGCAGCACTGAGCACTTGGTAGCTTCCTGTGACTTAGAGATCTGTGTTGTAAAGAATGTATTTTGGTTAGGCGGTCTTTATTAACACAATAGGTGCCTAGGTGTCAGCACCTAGGGAAGACAGGGGGCGGGAGCTGTCATACTGGGGGGTCTGCTATAGGCGACCAGACCAAGATGGCCTTGTTAATGAGGCCTTCTACAGGCAGATAAGAGCAGCCTCATGCTTACATGCCCTGGTCCTCATGCACGATTTCAACCACCCCAGTATCTGCTGGAGGGGCAACACAACAAAGCATCAACAATCCGGGAAGTTCCTGGACTGCATTGATGACAACTTCCTCCTCCAAATAGTAGACAAACCAACAAGAAAAGGTGCTTTGCTGGACCTTGTTCTCAGAGATGGGCTGGCTGATGATGTAATACTTAATGGGAGACTAAGCTGTAACAGCCATGACACAGTCAAAATCGGCATCTTTAGGGCAGCAAGGAAGGAGCGAAGCAAGTTTACTATCCTCAGTTTCAGGAGAGCAGGTTGTAGTTTCTTCAAGGATTAAAAATTATCCTACTGAGCTTATATCACAGCTATTTTTCAAATGTGAACAAGTATAGCTAATAGTTGTTATATGTTTCCTAACATCCTGAATCTCAAACTCACCAAGTTGAGGTCTTATGCTGTTTGATGAAGTTGAAGACATATATGTGATGCATTCGATGCAATTATTACATATCAGTGAATACAATGGTTCAGAGCTCATTCCCAAGGTTAATTTTCAAAGGAAGTGGAGAACTAGATTTCAGACAAGGTACGTTTAAGGGTTTACTTATCCATAGCTCTGTACTTTCTTCTACAAAGCTTCTCCTTTTCGTAAGGATTTTCTGCAATCTACTTGCTTGAGTTTTAGGCTCTGGCATACTAGCATGTTTTACATGTAATAAATAGGTCAGCAGCAGCTAAGTAAAAATGCTTAGCAATTCAACTGAAGGTAGCAGTAACTTCTACAGTGAAAGGTGTCTTTTTGAAGCACACAGCTGTTGGATTGATGGGGTTAACAACATAGTTCATCTGGTTTGAATGAACTGACATAGCTCTGTGCAGGGTGTCAATCAGATTTCTTGTATATTGTGTGCACTTAATCCCTTGGATTGGGTTTTGGGCTTTCAGTAATAATGCTATACATCACCCAAACTTTTCCCAAAAAGTACCTCATTGTACAGCAAAGGAAATGAAAGGGACTTTCTGAGTCTCAGCAACGTAGTCTCTTCTTACCGTAGATAACCATATGATATAGTCCTTTCTGTAAACTTCTGTTGTAAAGATAGAGCAACTCCCATTACACCCAATGAATATTTAAATTTACATGTCCTAGTCCAGGAGCAAAACCTTTAATGGTTGGCCACGAGGCCAGCTTTTCAGAGGGCTGCCTGTGTTTCACTACTGTTATCACTAATCAGAACCACTCCTCTGACACTGGCTGCACTGTCAAAATGAGTCAGTGTGTCCTGCTAACAGCCTCTCCTGAATGAAAGAGGCCTCCTGCACTTGGCCATGCAAGAGTTCAATCAATCAAAGTCAGCTTCTTCCCTTCATTCCTTCTTGTGCAATCTGCCTTGCCTTTGAGAAATCCTGTCTAGGTTCTGCTCCGTTAGTCCCAGAGGTATTTGGTGGCCAGTTATCCTCCAGTAATGTCTCGTACTGGTTGCCTTAAGATCTCAAACACTTGGACCATAGAATGCAAATTGATTGAATGAATGCAAGAAGTATAACCTTCTCACTAGGGAATTTGCCTACATAGAAATACACTTGGCAAAAACAGATGGGTGAGTAAAATGGAAACCTGACAAATTTGTAAGTCTTTTGTTGTGCTCTACAGCAGCAGTTTCTTATCTGCCTTCCTGCATCCCAGGAAACTGTGACAAATTTGTGAAAGATAAGGCAATATTGTTTGCTGCTCTCTACCTTCCTGCAGTACTTCTCTCCTTTGATGCTGTAATGAGGATTTTATCCACACTGATATTAATTCAAAATATAGGTAAATCGTTGGCTATATTCCTTAGTCAGCCTCAGGTCTGAAAATACAACCTAAATTACCCCATTCTTGCCAGTGTGTTAGAGTCCTACGAAGTTCTCTGTCATAGTATTTACATGAAAAGTGATTTACATTTAATAAAAGGTTTTCTTATTCAAGTCCATTGTTGTGCTCGACCCCTCAGGTGTTTGTATAAAATCTTATTAGCATGCTTAACTCCGATGTCTCTCAGATGAATGTCTCATTACCATGCAAATGGAGTTAGCTCCTTTCTGAGGTTAATTGTTACAAAGCAACACAGAGAGAGATCTATTGTAATTTACTGAACACAGAACACCAGCTAGGCAGGGCATCAGCCATCATAGTCTAGCAGCCCAAAACTTAACTACATTAAGTCCACTAGGGAAGAACAACAGTAATCTAAGTAATGGTTTGGACTTAGTTGTAGGTAACACACAGGACTGTTCTGGTCTTGAAATGCAACTCAGTCAAACTAATTTCTGGCCATGTTTTACACCAAGGTCTGCGGAGTGGCAGCCAGAGGGCAAATCTAGTTTAGAAGCTGGTAAATGGTGTTGTACCTTTAGCATAGAAATCCCTTGGAGCAAACACACAAGAACAGCCACAGTCAGCAGTACTGGGTTAATTTACTGCAGACCACCTAGGCTATCTCTTTAGCAAACTGCATTTTCACATTTCACAAAGTGCTTGAAAAGTTTAGTAGAAGTCTTCAGTCCACAAAATAAAATTGGATCCCATCCTTTAGGAAATTACACACTGGCATTAATTTAAAAACGCACATTAAGCTCTTTGAATCACAGAATGACAGAATGGTAGGGGTTGGAAGGGACCTCAAAGGATCGTCTAGTCCAACCCCCTTGCCAGATGAGAATCACCTAGGTTCAGAATGTTTCTTTCTGGCATAATTTGAGATATTGCCATCTGATTTCCCATAATGACATCACAAAAGAATTGTGTCATCTTTAACTACTGGACTGTCTATGTTTTTGGGGGTGGTGAGGAGAGTGTTGTGTTTGAGTTTGTTGTGGTGAGTATCTTCAAACATTTGTGATGTTAGAAATTGTTATTTGCTTTTACTTCAGTACCAGGCTGTTTTTCAAAAGGGTGAAAAATAAAAAATGCTCTGTGTATGCCTTACCTTATGTCACTGACATGAAAAGCCTCAGGACTTTTTCACTGCTCAAGACTTTAATTTAACAGCACATTTAGTTCAAAGTATTGTTCTTTCTCTTGCACAGTATCTTACAACATTTATTATGCACCCCAGTAGAAGAACAACTAGGGAAGTGCAATTGCAATATATGTTCTATTGAAATAACTGATGCAGATTAAAAGCACATAGATGGAAAATAAATCAACAAATCCCTGATTCCTTTTCATTCGAATCACTACTGAAGAGATTATTTTCTTCTCATTTTGCCTGAAGTACATGGTATTTAGATCCCTGTATTTCAGCAAGTAGTTATGCATCATCCCACTGCCAATAAATATTTCTACATTTCCAGCAAAACAGGATAAGAAAAATCCTGGTGCGGTTGAAATTAGTGGAACTCTGGTTTTGAGGATCAGGGGTGGGGACAGGTTCGCTTTTGCTATACTTTTCATGACAAAAATTTTCAGAAGGAAACGCCTGGTTTGTCGAGTTAAACACACCGCAACGTGGGCGCCATGCACTTGTGCTTCATTTTGTACTATGCTTCATCCAAATAACAATATTTTCCTCTACTGAGGTAAAGTGAAATTTCCTCTCCTGTTCACATCTCCATATGCATGTGTTCCTTGGTGATATGCAGGGATTGGCCATATCCTCACCAGCAGGAGCTGTGGGCATATGAGAGAGCTGAGGAAACTCTCCCTGAATGGGGACTGTAGATATGACTGGAAGGACTTTCA